GTGAGGGGTTGAATGTCACTGAGCGTTTCAAGTATTTCACTATAGGCAGTTAAGAACATTTAATTCGTCTTGTAGAAATGAGTTTTTGTCATCTTTCTTAAATTTGTTATGAATTAAATTTGCCCAAACTTTTGATGTTGCTTAGTTTTTTCGGCTTGTAACTTCGCCGTCACATTTCGCATAAAACAAGAGTCATATTTTTTCATTTCTAGACTTTATTTAACACTCTCCTCCTTTATCAAGATGCCTGGTTATCGATGTTTCTCAATACTGACTTTTTCTAAAAGTTCGAGTACTTTACAACCAGCTTCTGTACGGACAAATCACGGTTTATCGATACATCATAAACTCGCCCGTTGAATCATTTTTGGTAGCAGCTACTATCGTGCTTTGCTTAGTAAATAGACGCGCCTTGAATAGCTATAGATAAACCCGGCTTAATCCGACGAGAGAAATAAATGTATTACCAGTAATTTGGTATTGCGTCTACAGATCGATAGATATAAACATATTCTGGTTAAAACTTTTCTCAACAATTACAGCAATGTTCTGAGATGTGACTAGTTTATGCACATGTTTTGAAGTTTTTTCCAGAGATATTGTTTCTGGTGATGATTATCGTCAATCTACACTTTAACTTGACTGATCGGCAAGATTGACTACGTCACATTAAAAAGCTACGTGAACCCTCCATTCTCGGGAATGCATCAGAGTGATGATAGAATAAAGGGTCAGCATTTTATTGGTTACACGTGATTGTAACGAAATTTATAATAAGCATAACCGTTCAAAAATCTTCATCATCCACGCTTCTAATCAAATATATTTCTATGTCCTTGTTCCATCGCTCTTTTCTGTCTATCACTCGCAACAATCAAACAGCCTTTCGTGGAAGAGGTCCAGCTAGTGATGGATTGCTTGATTTCTTTTATAACCGAGAGAAATCCCATTGCCCTCGCCAGTGAACTTGAATGTGGTGAGTTTATATCTGGTTGATTTCTTTGTCAATATAAAGATAGATTATGTCTGCACTGGATCAGGCCCTAGACTTTTACAAACAACTAATCATGTGTGTTTTTCACGCAATGAAAAGGCAGAGCATGGCGAGCAGCCGAGCTGAGACGAAAGAGTTTTGAAGATCTGCATAAACTTTGGTATGTGCTATTAAAAGAACGAAATATGCTCGCTACCATGAGAGAAGAAGCGAGGCGAATAAACATGCCGACGCGTAATCCCGAGTGGTACACATCATTTCAAGAGCGAGTTTATAAGGTATGGTCATCTTTCGTTAACCACGAAAAGGTTGTAATTACATGTTTTAGCCGTCTTTCTCAACATGCAAAATTATGTTCACCTCCCTCACTCCGATCCTCAAACTATTTCTCGTTATGCAGTGTCAGAAAGGTATGGCACGTATAAAAGGCGTTCTTAATGAACGCCGAGTATGCTATATCCAGGCTAAAAGACGTGACCCAGAATACTTCGAGTATAAACGTATGACCTCTCAACGTGCCTCTGGGTCTGTAGAATCATATATTCCCGAGCCGCCGCCGATAGAGCCAATTAGGATGCCAAAGAAATTGACTAGGAAAAAGCGCAGAGAGGGTTTGGTTATTCGGATCGATGGGACACTATAACAAGATCGTGGAGAGTGTTAAAGAGAGTGCGCATACTACATAATAAACTTATTCATTGCCGTTTAGATCATTGTGTAAATGGAATTTGCAACATATCGCGATTTTTACTTGACTAATGGATGGCAGTTGGGTCATTTAAACTCGTTAATCAAAGTAGTGTTTTTTATTATTATTGTCAATAAACTACATGTTAATGTGGCGTTCAGAGTGTTTAAAGTGTTCCACAAGTTATGGCACCAATTATGAGTCCAAAACTGATATTAATATGTGCACGTTTCAAAATGACTTGCAGGATAATGCTTGGGCAAGGAAGAAGAAACGAAGAACGTTTCGTTAAAGTTAAACACAATCAGAGAGATGCAAAATACAAGCTTTTCATAGCAAGAGGTAAAACGGATTATTGTAAGGTTGATGCTACTTATAGAGCTAATTAT